ACAAACAGCCATTCGACAAAACTCAAGGCGACTCAGATTAATGGTCAGTCGTCCAGTTTGAATGAAAAACTTACTTCCAGAGCAACTCCAATGACCAAAAGGGTAGAAATAAGAAGAAAGAGCCCCTCCTTTCCAAATCACATCTCTATGGTACAAGTGGAGAGTCTCTCCTCAGTAGAGAGGGATTTGAATTTTAAAATCCACCTGCCTGGACCAGCAAGATGGCTCAGCAGATGAAAGTATTTGCTACACAAGCCTAACAGTGACCCAAGTTCATTCCTGAAGCTTATAGTAGGAGGGTAGCCCTCCGGACACCACACAGATGCCCCTGCATGTACATATTATGTACACACACTGCTATCATCACTATCATTAAAAACATTCTACCTGCATTAGCTGGGTGGTGTTGACACATGCCTTTAATCCAGCACGTGGGAGGCAGAGGCAAGTGGGTCTCTGTGAGTTCGAAGCAAGACCTGGTCTACAGAATGAGTTCCAGAACAGCCAGGGCTGCACAGAAAAAAAAAAAAAGGTGGAAAACCTTAAGTAGGGAAGATGGCACTGATGGACACCTGAGGTTGTCTTCTGACCTTTATATAGACACTGTAATGAACACGCCTGCACCCACACATATAGATGCACATGCACACATACGTGCATGCACGCACACACGGGGGAGGAGAGGGAGAAGGAGGAGAGGGAAGAGAAATAGGAGGAGGAAGAGGAGACTTATTATTGTTATTATCATCATCATCATTATTATTATTATTATTATTATTATTGAGCTTTCACATGAATGTGAGTTTCCTTCTCCTTCCATCTTTGTTCCATCTGGGCCTTCAACACACTGGACAGCACCACAAGTGTTCAGGGCAGGTCGTCTCAGTTTGCTGACCCATATGTCAATCATCTCTGGAAACACAGATACACAGTGCTTGTTACCCATTTTCTGGATATTTCTCTCTCTCTCTCTCTCTCTCTCTCTCTCTCTCTCTCTCTCTCTCTCTCTCTTTCTCTGTGTGTGTGTGTGTCTGTGTGTCTGTGTTTGAGTACACTACATGCATGCAGATTTCCTCAGGGACTAGAAGAGGTTATTAGATCCCTGGACCTGGAGTTATAGGCAACTGCAAGCCATGAACATGCATTCTGGGAACCTATAACCTGAAACCTATAAACACAGATACAAAAAGTTGAAGCAAAAGGATCGTGAGTTTCAGGCCAATCAGAGCTACATTGTCAGGGATAGGGTTGAGGGGGTGTCACAGACAGAAACAGAAACAGAGAGTGGCAGACAGAGAGGACTGGAGAAATACTTCAACAGTTAAGACCCATTATTGCTTGTGCAATGTACTAGAGTTTGGATCCCAGCATACATGTCGGGGCTCACAATTGCCTGTAACTCTAGCTCCTGAGGATCTGAGGCCCTCTTCTGGCCTCCACAGACACCCGTGCCCATGTGAAGCCTGGGATCCACATTTAAACACACACACACACACACACACACACACCTACCTGCCAGGTGCTCTATGAACCAATATTTGAGTAACACTTAGAGATGTTAGCTTTCACAGGTAATACCTGTGCTTTTACACATAATACCTGTGCTGGCTAGTTTTATGTCAACTTGACACACAAACTAGAGTTATCTGAAAGGAGGGAGCCTCAATTGAGAAAAATGCCTCTATGAGATGTACATGTAACACTGGACTACCAAAAAGGCAGCATACACCAGCTGATATGTGGCCCCCAACACATATACTGCAAAGGACTGCCAGGTCCGTGTTCAGAGACGATGCACCTAACCCTCAAAAGACTGGAGGCCCCAGGGAGTTTAGAGGTCAGGAGGGGTGGAGGGGTGGAGGAGGGTGGGGTGGGGACATCCTGGTGGAGACAGGGGGTGAGGAGGAGGTATGGGATGTGGAATAGTTGGAGGGTGGATGGGGGGAATAAAATCTGGAGTGTAAAAAAATAAATAATTTTTTTTAAAAGACGTAGATGTAAGGAATTTTCTTTAATAGGTGATTGATAGTGGAGGGTCCAGCCCATATGAGTGTCTCCATCCCTGGGCTGGTGGTCCTGAACTTTATAAGAAAGCAGGTTGAACAAGCCAAAGAAAGCAAGCCAGTAAGCAGCACCTTTCCATGGCCTCTGCATCAGCTCCAGCCTTCAGGATCCTTCCCTGCTTGAGTTCCTGTCCTGACTTCCTTCAGTGATGTACAGTGTGGAAGTATAAGCTGAATAAACCCTTTATTCAGCTGACCCCTACCTTGCTTTTAGTGAAAGTGTTTTATCACAACAAGAGAAAGCCCTAACTAAGATAATATCCTAGAGAAAAGGAGACTGCAATGTCATGTTTCCAGTGGTTGCAACTGAAAGAGATGTGTGCTGGGGTAAGGTTATATGGTCAAGGAACATCAAGAGGGCAAGAAGTACTCATAAGTTTGAAAAATATCAGCACTTAGTTTATCCTTGGTTTCTGGATAAATGTGAGAGATTCGAAACTGGAACAACATCAAGAGATAGAGTTGAGTTTCAAGCAAGCCCGAGTTACGTAGCAAAACCTTCCCCCAGAATTCAACGTGTTGGGCTAAAGAGATGATCCCATGGTTAAAACAGCACTCTTACCAAAGACCTAGGTTTGAATCCCAGCACCTACATGGTGACACAATTATCTGTAACTCTAGTTCCAAGGGATCTAGATTCCTTCTTCTGATCTCGATGGACACTAGGGATGCACACAGTACACATGCATATGTGCATGCCAGCAAAACGCTCGTACACATAAAATAAATCTAAAATGAGTTTCATTCTCTGTTTTGCTATTTCCTTTAATGATACTGATAATAAGTGACATGAATATGCACCCAACAGCATGATATGCTGGCTTAACAAAAATCTTACGCCGTTAATCCCAGTCCTTTGGAGGCAGAGGCAGGAGGATCTCTGTTGGTTCTAGGCCAACCTGGTCTACAGAGTGAGTTCCAGGACAGCCAGGGTTGCACAGAAAAACTCTTGTCTCAAAAGCCAAAAAAAAACAAAACCTTAGCTTAAAAGCTGTACATGAGCTAAACTTTTACTTACAGGAGTTTTGCTTGCTTATAAAAAGTCCTTACTTCTTATCTGGGAAAAACAAACACTTGCCAGAAGCTGCCTGAAAGGAATTTTGTCACAGCATACAAAGGTCATATTGCAGAGACCATTTCTGTTTGCTAAGAGAAAAATCCTTTACCAGCCAAAATGAGTTGTTATTTGCAACTACCTGTATATTTTATTGCTGCCTGCCAAGTGTTTGTGTATTATTAGCTACCTACCTAGCTAACTGTTCCTGTAAAGTTGCCTAACTAAATTCCCTTTAGTGATTAAGGGGCTCAGATTCCACTCTAAGACTGTCACAAAGAAAGGGATGATAACCCCAGTTCCTGACCTACAAAAAGCTATAAGAAACTACCAAGGGGACTGGACCTTTCAAAACACAAGTGTGGTTTCTAGTCCATGCATGAATAAAGGTTTCTCCTACCTCTCCAAGTGAATGACTGGCTTCTTGTTGGGTGAGATTTTCCTTTAACAATACTGCAAATAGGGGAAGGTGGAGTTGGGGGATGACATGCATAAGGGGGTACTGGGTGTTTGGATTTGGACCCCAGGACAAGAGACTGAGGTGAATATTTTACATATCAAAACAAACCTGGCCTTCAGGTTCTTCCAGAATTCCTCAGTCCCTACCTGGTATACCCTGCCCCTAACCTTGAACTTTCCAGCCCAGGGCCTGGGCTGCCCTTTCCACAGAGGATCTTCCTATATAATCCAGACATTTTGCTCTCCCTCTCCTCCTCCTTCTCTTCTTTCTTTGCTTGCAAGCCCCCATGGCAATTCCCCTGGCCTCAATCCTTGGGGCCAGTGAACTCAACCAAGAGCAGCTTCCCAATAAATCTGCCTTTAATATAATATAATCTGGCCTGAATTGACTCATTTCACTGGCGGAGAAACAACCTATCACTGGGAGGAGGAGGGCTGATATTGGGATGTAAAGTGAATTACTTAGTTAATTAATAAAAAAAGAAACAATATTGCAATTGCTTTTTTAGTTTTGGAGTTTTTTTTTTTTTTTTAATAAAGTTACCTCCCCCATGCTGTTTGGTCTCTCTCTTGTGGACTTGTCTTGGATGTAGAGTTTTTTTTTTTTGGTTTTTCGAGACAGGGTTTCTCTGTGTGGCCCTGGCTGTCCTGGAACTCACCCTGTAGACCAGGCTGGCCTCGAACTCAGAAATCTGCCTGCCTCTGCCTCCCAAGTGCTGGGATTAAAGGCGTGTGCCACCACTGCCTGGCTGATGTAGAGCTTTCTATAAGATGGAGCCTCATTTCTGTGTTACTCACAAGGCAAAGAAGTAAAGGCAGGAATTGTTGAGTGTCTGTGATTCATCTGAAAAATCCTTGTAAAGTGCTATAATAGCATGCTCTACATGAGCAAAGCTCAGAACCCGTGTAAGTAGCTTGTTTACCGAAAGATAGTCTTTTGTCCTCGGGCCAAATATTTGGAAACACAATGCACTTAACTGGCACACCTCACCAGGGCTGATCTGTGTAACCAGCCATCCCTGGCTTGGCTTTTATCTTCCTCTATCTACACCCTTGCTTCAGCTCCTCTGCCACAGACATACAATTACTATTATTATTGCTTGATAATAACTGTAATTACTGCCCATGATGGAAAAGACAGGGAGAAAGTAACAAATATAGAGCTGAAGAACACTACATCAGGAAAAACAACTGAACATCCTAAACAGGATCACTTTGTCTCTATCTGTCACCTCTGGAACTGAAGACAGGCAATCAGGGACTTGGGTTGGGGGTGTGTTGAGTGGGGGAGACTCTAGGCAAGAGATTCAGAAACAGAAATGCAAAGTCCTCCCGCGTTCCTAGAGGGGACCCGGAAGCTCGGCTCGGTCCCGGAAGATGAGATGCTGACCTACTTCCGGTCTTTGTGACTCATTGTGTCTGTGGCGAGGTGTTGGGAGGGCCTAGGTCCGTGTGCAGTGCCCTTCGGCCGGGTTGAACCCCGAGTCAGCCGTGCTTGGTCGCCCGGCGTCCCCAGGCCGCTCCGGAGACTCACGGTGAGTCTCATGGCGGACTCTCGGAGGACGGGCGGGCCGCGAGGGTGGGCCGTGTGACCACCCGGGGGGCTTGGAAAGGAGCCCTGCGGGGTCCCGGCGGTGCTCGAATCTCTGGGGTCAGTGAGGAACCCTTTCTTGTCATCATCCTTGTATAACATTTCTGAGGACAAGATCACAAATGGACGTGATCCCCATGTCTGGATTCTTCTCTCCTCCCTCCTGTCGCCATTTGCTGTGGTTGCAGGGGAAAGTGTTTTGTGTGGTTTTCGTTTTATTGCTGTCCTTCACTTCCCCGGGTCCCGTCCTCCTCCTGGGTCCTTGAGGCTCTTGAGATGAACGACGCAGAAGACCTTGAGCTCTGTACACGTTTTGAGGTTCCGAAAACATTTCCAGATAACCTGCTTTTCTGTCTCTCCATCTCCCAACGCTGAGCGAAAGCGCTGGAAGCTTGACAGTGGTTAAAAGATCTAGTAGAAATTAACAGCCGGCTGTCAGCTTTCTGGAATGCTTCAAAAGCTCTTGCTGGTTCAAGCCTGTTTAAATGTGCTATCTGAGAGATTAGGTGGAGTGTTCGTTCACCTTGCTTGATTGCAGTGGGTGAGACATGAAGGGTATCTGGGAGAAATCACACTGGGCCAGTAGGAGATTGATTAATGACCTTAGATGAGACAAGACGTTTGCCAACTGTCAGTTTTATTATCCATACAATTAACTACCTGCTCACAAAGGTTCTTCAAATTTGAAATGAAGTGGAGTTGGTAAATGTAATTTAAAAAAAAAAAAAAACAGCTCATTTAGTTGGAAGTTCCCCATCCGTCTCCCTCCCTTCCCTACACACGTGTGGTACAAACACACACACACTGATTATAGAGACTGACTGTTCTATGGCCTGGGACCAAAGAAAGCATTTATTGTACAGGGCAGTGCTAGGCGGATTGAGGGCAGTCAATAAATACTTGTTGGAATTATGAAGAATTCATTGTAACCACATCAACAAGTGAAGTTACTAGAAAAGCTGGCCAAATGTGGGAAAATAGCTTCATTACAAGGGAACTATAGTGAAGCTTTATCCAGATGGTTTTTTCAGGTCTGTGTCCTCATTCAATTACTATACAAGATTCTTACTTATTATTTTACTCAGATTCATCTTGTTAACTGCTACTGTATACTTTTTTTTTGATTCCCTATTTAATGTCTCCATTTAGAAATTTTTCAAGTGCTCTATACTATATTTAGATACAACCAAGCCAGTGTACTAAGTCTCAAATCTTAGCTTTTCATTCTGTGGTGGTATTGATATTCTTTAGATATCTTTTTAAAAAATGGGGTCATCTCTCTAGTTTTGGCTGACCTTGGAATTCCAGCCACTGCCTCCAGAGTGCTGGGGTTAGAGACACTTGCCACAACACTAGACTGCTATCTTTTAAGACTAGCTTTTTCATATTATAAAGCATTTTATTTCTGTTGACAAGGGGAGTAAGGAACGTTTATTTAAACTTGCAAGACTGTGACATAGAAGAAAGACTGGATTTTGAGAAAACATCCTTTGAAGTAAACCATGCTTGGAGGCCAGGGTCTGGAGTCCTTTCCCGTCAGAAGTCATTTGTTGTTTTCTTTGGTGAGGTCTGGTTGCTGGGCAGTGATCTTTTCTAAAGGAGATGATACGTCAGAATGTGTTTTGTTTTAGAGGGACCCCAAAGGTGGTTTTCTGCCTTTCTTCCTCTGTCCCTACTTCACTGCTAGTAAGAATACTGGAAACTACTCAGGGACGTGAGACTTATTTGCAGGAGACATAACTCATCTGCTCCAGCCCACACTGCCTCTGCTGTTACAGGATTTCTTCCACTGTTAATCTTTTAAGCAAGCTGAAAGTTGTAATGCATACTTATATCTCTTGAATTTACTTTGTACGTTTTTTTGTCCTATTTTCTGACCTCAAGTAGCCCTGTTAAGCCTCGAATTCACTATGTAGCCAAGACTGACCCTACAGTCTTGATACCCCTGCCTCCACCTCTAAGGTGCCCGGAATACAGACATGCTCCACCACACCTGGCTTGTCTGTGTTTTCTATCCTGGTGTGCTGAGGTTGAACCTAGGGCCTTATACATGCTAGGCAAGTGTGCACTGCAACTAAGCTATGTTACCCAACCCTTAAGTTCATTTTTAAAAAGTAAGACCTCCCCAGTGCCTACTAAGTGCCAGAAACTTTTTTCAGAGTTTCATAAACTAATTTGCTTAATTTAAGAAACAGTGAACATACACACACACACAAAGGCAGTATCTTGGTAAATTCAATGAAGTGTTGTTTGACTGAAGCCAGGGCCTTAGACTTCATGCACTCTGCCACTGAACAACACCCCTGGTCATTTTACATTTTGTATTTGTTTTGTTGATGTTTGGGGGTTTTGTCGTTGGTTGCTTTGATTTGGTTTTGGCTTTTAAGCTGTCTTTTATAGCCTGGAATGGCAGTGAGCTCCTCATCTTCCTACTTCTGCCTTCCAAGTGCTGGGATTACAAGTTTGTGCTCCTACACCTGGCTCATGTTTTCATTTTAGCCAGGGTCTCCCTAAGTTGTCCAGGTTGGCCCTGAACTCACTTTGTAATCTAAACAGATCTTGAACTTTGGATCTTTCTGTCATACATTTTTCTTAGAAGAATGTTTAGGCAGGAGGTTAGCTCAAAGGTAGAAAGTATTTGCATGGCATGGATCAGGCCCCACAAAATAATTACCGTAATAATACAGTGGCACAGTTGGTAAGGGGTTTGCTACACAAGCATGAGGATCTGGGTTTGGATCCCCAGCACCCAGGTAAAAAGCCAGGTGAGGGGCGTGCGCCTATAACCCCAGCCTAAAGAAAAAGGAGACAGGATCCCCAGAGCAAGCTGACCAGCTAGCCTAGCTCAATCAGCATACCCTGAGTTCAAGTGAGAGACTCTGCCTCTGTAAGGTAGAAAGCAATCAAGAAAGACACCCAGTGTCAACCTCTGGCCTCCACACACAAACACACCACAAAGAAAAACAAATTAAAAAAAGAACTTGCCCTGAGGTAGAACAATCTAGTTTCGGATCCTGGTCTAGCATTTACTTGCTCTGAGAGCTTAGGTAAATAATTTACTGTCTGTTAACTGTAGTTTTAACATTTACAAAGCAAGATGATAATCCTAGGCACCTCTTAAGACTGTTGGTATGTGGTCCAGGGAAGTACTGAGTGTATTATTTGGCACCTGCAAATGTTGGCTCTTACTCTCCTTTCACAATGTTCCTGAGCATAGATGGACACATGGCACTTTAGCTTAGGTTTGCCAAGGCAGAGCATGACTGGGGTGCTGGGTTTGGAGTCATTTTGCTGACTGAATGGGGAAGGGTTTGTGGAGTGCAAAGGTTGATGGGAAATGAAGCTTGAAGAGAAAGTGGAAATGAAGTGGAACCCACTGATTGGGGCTGTAAAGTTTTAGGAGAAATAATGAGTCAGGTAGCGAGTAGATTGTGTGTGAATAGGGCTCGAATAGAGGTAGAGAACCAAGAAGCTAGACTCAAGCTCAAATTGGACAAGAAGTATGAACAAAGTTACTTTACTCAGGACATTGTGGATGTGGCAGTGGGTAGAGCGTTCATCTAGCAACCATGAAGCCTTGGGCCAGCACTGCATACAACAGGTATGATGGCTCACTCCTGTAATCTCAGCACTCAGGAGGGGGAGGCAGGAGAATCAGAAGTTAAGATCATCCTCAGTCACTAGTGAATTGGAGGCCTGCCAGGTCACATGATATGACTCTGTCTTAAGTAATTCACTCTGGTTTTTGGAGGCTCAGTGTATATGAGGAGGGAGAGTCAAAGAAGGCAAGGTATTAATTTAAGCCTATGCAGGTGAGATGCTAGAGGAATGTCTCCCTGAGCTACTCAGTGTTCAAGAAGAGAGTGGAGGGACAACTGACATAGCAGGAGTGGTTCTCCCCATGTGTATAGTTCACCTCCTCATCTCCTTGTTTAAGCTAGACTAATCAGAAGGCAATGTACATCTTGACGGGTGAGTAAAACATTGACCGACAGAGTTAATGGATGGAGTGGGAGTTGTTCACGGCAAGAGTGAAGTCCGTTGGTCATGGCCCACGCTTGGGTTTAGATAACTAGAAATAAGGGGAATTCACCACTAACAGGAAAAATGCAGCAAGACTGGAATAAGAGTGTGTCCTGACGGTGGGAACCCTTGAGCTGAAATAGTATGTATCAGAGATTTGTTGACAGTAACTGAGAGAAACCAGAATCACCTTCAAGCCATGCTGTACTGACCTTTGTATGTGTGTATGGGGCTGGAAAGAGATCAGCACTGAACTGAAACAACTGAAAACAACTGCATATGGGAGAGACTGTCTAAACTGCCACTGAGGGCTAGTGCCTTGTCTCAGCTGCCTTAGCCTGATGGACCTGAGGTCAGTCCCCCAGACCCACATGGTAGGAAAATCTCAAAAGCTGACCTTTAACCTCCAGTAGCTCACTGTGGTATATGCATGTATGAGTGACCATAAGTATTTAAAATAAAGTTGTTTAAACCTGGTCACAAAAACTTGCATGCCTCTTTTGTTCTCAGTGTTTTATATATTACTACTGGAAGCTAGACTTTGGCTACTTTGTGGGTTCTTTTTTCTTCCACTCCTTTTCCCCCCTTTCAACCTCCTAACACTGGATAGGAGAGGAAAAACAATAGAGAAAAAGCGGACAATATTATAATTGCACTACTTCCTGCTGATTGGGGCATCAAGTTCCCTGGGCCACTCTTCACTGTCAAGATATCTAATTTCTTCTTGTTTCTCTGTTGCAAATACTAAATAACAAAACCACAACCAACAGCAAACAACCAACAACCCACACCACCTCTTTATGCCCTAGCATTTATAAGACCTCTGAAAGGTCCCCAGAATTCTAAATGTCACATAGTCCGTGGAAATTATCACACTTCTGCTGAATACAAGTCAAATCATAGCTGCTATAGACAGTCTAAAGCAGCCCCATATTCCATACCTGGGATTAAAACAAAACCATTCTCATAATGTTCTTGTTTCTTTTTTTAAAGATTTTTTTATATACAGCATTCTGCCTGCATCCATGCCTGCAGGCCAGAAGAGGGCACCAGGTCTCACTATAGATGGTTGTAAGCCATTGTGAGGTTGCTGGGAATTGAGCTCTGGAAGTGCAGCCAGTACTCTTAACCTCTGAGCCATCGCTCCAGCCCCAATATTTCTGTTTTTTAAATAAACCAAAATTCCAAAATTGTCACTACACTACAGTCCATGATTCCATTTCTACCAAATCTAATTAGTATTTTTAAGTGAGAACTGTAAAATTATAGATGCTTTCCTAGTTTAAAAGTATTGGTGTGCTCTAAGGATATAGCTCTGTAGTAGAGTGCTAGCATGTACCCTGGGTTTAGTTCCCAGCCTTTTATAACGTAAAAATTAATTTAACCTAAAAGCTCTTGATTTAACTCATTGTGATACAGTTAGATAGATGGTCAATTTATAAAACATTCTGTTTTTGTTTTGTTGGGCCCTTCAGTTTTTTTAAAAGGCATGTTAATTTATTTATTTGTGTGAATGCAGGTGAATGTGTGGAGTATGAGGTCAAAGAACCGCTTACAGGAAACTGTTCTTTCCACCAGGCGGGTCCCAAGCATCTTCTTAGGTCATCAGATTTGATGGCAGCTGCCTTTACCCACTGAGCCGTCTTGCTGGACCCAGGACGCTTGGTTTTGGTTGCTGTAAAAGTAAAGACAATGCTTTGGAAGACCAGTAGGTGCAGATGGGAGGATTGCAGTTATCGTGCTCAGCAATTCAGGAAGCACACCCCGTGCTAAGTATTTGTTATTAAATTCAAGTTTCCACAAGTTTATTTTTATTTTCTATGATTTTTTAAAACTTAATGCAATTAATATTTAACAAACATGGTGATAGGGATTGCAAATCACCTAATTGTCCCCACTTTTAATAGTAGAGGGGACAAATCCAGTCACAGTGCCCCTAACAAGTATAAGATTTCTCGTCTCCTCAGGCTTGGCAATTAGAGCTTTAACCACAGAGCCATCTCCCAGCCCCTCCAGTGTAAGATTTAAAGTGTCATGGAACATTTAAGGTTTCCAAAAACCCTAACTAGTTTTTGCAGAGTAACCAAAAAGTTGAAGTTTGCTATTACTAAAGACTTTAGTTCAAAGCCAGGGAGGTAGCTGAGCAGATAAACATACTTGCCACCAAGCCTGACAACCTGAGCAACCCCAGGACAGTTTTTATGGTAGAGGAGTCCTATGACCTCCACACGTGTTCTGTGGCATATGTGTGGGTGAGTGTGTGCGTGCGTGTTAAACGTAAATAAAAGGCAAAGTTCCATTGGCATTCTTCATTTGGAAGGATTTTTAAATGAGCTAGAACATAGTTGCAAGTTTGTTTTTTGAAGGCTTATTTGTGCCTGTTGTTTGTTGTTCATGTGTTTGCCAGATGCATACAACTCACATCTTGTGCTGTGATTTTGTGCCAAAATTTAAACCCAGTCCTCATGATGGCACAGCAGGTACTCTTAGCCACAGAGACATCTCTCCAGCCGCTAGTTCCAAGTTAGTATTAGAAGTGACATCAAGGCTAGTGCAGCTCTGTAGTGGTTTTCTCCTTTATTTTTAGAGGCATTCTTAGCACCCTTATATGAAGGATTAGTAGCACAGGTTACTGTATATACCTGACATGTGCACATTCTCATGTATGTGTGGCTGCATACAGGGGCCAGAATACAGCCTTGGGTGTTTGTTGTTCCTCAGGTGCTGTCTACCACTAGCCTAGAGTTTACGGAGAATGCTAGACTGACAGACCTTTGAGTCCAGGGCCCCACTTTTCTCTGCTTCCTGGTCAATTTTTATTAATTCTTATTCCCCCTTCCCCTCTCCCCCCCTTTTTTTTAAACTTTAGGAATAGTGCAGGAATCAATAGAAGACAGTTGCTAGGACAGAAACTGCACCCTGACCCTGTTGGACCCCACCAGTTCACTGAGCCTGAATGATGACTGCTGAGTCAAGGGAAGCCACAGGCCTATCCCCACAGGCTGCACAGGAGAAAGATGGTATAGTCATCGTGAAGGTAGAAGAAGAAGATGAGGAAGACCACATGTGGGGGCAGGACTCTAGCCGGCAGGAGACACCACCACCCGACCCAGAGGTATTCCGCCAACGGTTCAGGCGCTTCTGTTACCAGAATACTTTTGGGCCTCGAGAAGCTCTGAATCGACTGAAGGAACTTTGTCATCAATGGCTTCGACCAGAAGTCAACACCAAGGAACAGATCTTGGAGCTGTTGGTACTGGAGCAGTTTCTGTCCATCCTGCCCAAAGAACTACAAGTCTGGCTGCAGGAGTACCGGCCTGACAGTGGAGAAGAGGCCGTGACTCTTCTAGAAGACTTGGAACTTGATCTGTCTGGACAACAGGTAAAAAGATATGACACCTGTGTGTGTAAGAAGGACACGGACTTAGGAGTAGGCTCAGAGGGGAGTGTTTGGAACAGCTGTTTTTGCCTATTGCTCTCCTGGACTCTTTCAAAGAGTTCTGGGGGCTTGGCAAACTAGCTCACTCGTTTCTAGAGCATGTGCATAGCATTTGTGAGGCTCGGGGTTCAGTGGCTGACCATAGAAAGGATGAGTGGGTGGGGGTGCCTCCTTTCAGCATCCTCTAGAATACTTAGAGGCTTCTCTTTAATATTTCTAATTCCTGTTTTAAAAGTGATTTGTGGGACCTGACACAGTGCTTCATGCCTCTAATCCATGCACTTGCTAGAGCAGGAGGATTCGGAGTTCAAAGCCAATCAGAAGTTTTACCAGAAAATATTTTCTCTCCTCAGGTCCCAGGGCAAGTTCATGGGCCTGAGATGCTTGCCAGGGGTGTGGTGCCTTTGGATCCAGTTCAGGAGTCCTCAAGCTTTGACCATCACGAAGCTGCGCAGTCTCGTTTCAAGCATTCATCTAGGAAGCCTCGTCTCTTATCATCCCGAGGTAAGAAACTGGGTTCACTTGTGGAAAAGAAGTAAATGTTCAGGTTAGAGGTGGCTTAGTTGGTAGGGTGATTGCCTGTTGTACATGAGGCACTAGGTCCCATCCCAACACTGCATAAAATGAGACATGATAATACAGTCCTTTATCCCAGCATTCTAGAGGCAGAAGCAGATGGGTCTCTTGGGTTTAAGGACAGCCTAGTATGCATAATGAGTTCCAGGATAGTCATAGCCACATAGCGAGGCCCTGACTCAAAAACAGAAAGGCAAGTGTGGTACACAGTTACAACATTCAGGACATGGTGACCAGAGGTTCAGAATTTCAAGGTCATCCTGATCTACATAGCAAGTTTGAAGTTAGTCCCGGCAGCCCAGGTCAGTGAAGGAATGAGACCTTGCCCATACCTCCAAATAAAGGTGGGAAAGTAAATGATCCAAGATAGAGGTATCTCGTTCTATGTTACCAGCTAACTCCACAAAGCAGCATGCTTGTTTGGTTATATGCTCACAGAGCAATCCTAGGCTGAGTGTTTACTATGGAGGTAAGTGAACTGTGCCATGTACTCATTGAACATTATATCATGTGTTAAACTGTGTGCAGTCCAGATGTCCAGCAGAGTTCTGAGTGGAGGGAACTAGAACAAGTGGTATATTATTTCCAGCTTGAATGGTTTGTTTTGAGACAAGATCTTGCTATATATCCCAAGGCTGGCTTCAAACTCACAGTCTTCCTGCCTCAGCTTCCTGAGTACTAGAATTATAGGTATATACCACCAGGCCTAGCTTCCAGCCTGGGTTTTGAAACACTTTAGCTAGCGTTTCTTAAATAATTTTTTGTAGGAGTCTTAAGTCTTTCTAAAGATTTCATATGTATCATTGGTTTTTGGTTTTGTTTTTTTTTTTTTTTTTTCTTCAAGACAGAATCTCTCTGTGTAGCTTTGACTGTCCTGGAACTCACTCTGTAGACCAGGCTGGCCTCGAACTCAGAGATCCACCCATCTTGGCCTCCTGAGTGCTGGGAATAAAGGTGTTCACCACCACCTCCTGACATAAAATGTTTTATACCATTCTTTTCAGGCTTCCAAAAGGAAGAGAATGAGAATGATTCCCCTTTTAGACTGAGAAAATGAGAAGAGTAGTAGTTCGGATTTCATTTCTATAAAAATCTGTTGCATTAGGTCGGTTCTCCAACCACTTTACAGAAATAGACAATACTTTTATCAGAATTTAAAATAAAGCAGCTATATAGCATATCAGAACAACGGTTAAAAGGCTCAGCAATTGAGATCTTACTGTTCTTACAAAGGACCAGAGGTTCACCTACATCAGGCTACTCACATCTGCCTATAACTCCTGCTTCAGGGGATCTGGTGCCTTTTTCTGGACTCCAATACACAGATAGACAGACAGACAGACAGACAGACACACACACACACACACAGAGTCTATTTTCTTTTTAAGTTTGTTAAAGAGTTACAGAAAAGTTAAAGTATGTTCCTTCACTAGTGTCTTTATTTGTGATGTCATTTAGAAGAGGGATATTAGAAGGTAGAGCTTAAAGTGGCGTTCTCTCTCCCAGGCACCTTGGAAGACAGCCAGCAGACACGTATAGCTGCTGTATAGGTTCAACTCCACCTGTGGCCGTTTCCTCCTCCACAGCAGAAGTTACAGTGGTATCATTGGGTGCCAGCTGGAGAGGAGAGGACACTCAGGATCCAAGTCCCATATTGTTGCTTCAGGTAGCTAGGGAGATGGTTTTAAAGACTGCAGATAGGGTTGTTATTTTCAAAATTGTTATTGAATGGATTTGTTCTCCATTTCTTCTCTGTCTTGTTCTATCTTGTTTCCTAACTCTGAGAAGGCCTAAGTGCTGAGGTCGTCTTGTATGTATTTTGCCTCACAAGTAGTAACAGGTAGAAGATGCAGTGATGAAGTGGTCTGTTTCGGTGGTTTTTGGCAGCTCAGACCCATCTTCTATCAGTTACATTTCCAAATCTAAGATGCTTGGCAAAGGAAGGAAAAGGAAAAATTTTAATTTTACAATTGAGTTTCTTTATTCTCGTTACTCGTTGCGTACGGTTGGTAGTCATTTGCAGTGTTACAGCTGCTTTTCGTGTGTTGACCCATACCTTTCTACATTTGCACATCTCATCAACATTTGAACAGTGTGTGTTTTATTAAACAGCAACCATGACCAAACAGAGAAACATGGATCAGAATGGCAGAAATGTACTTAGAAGTATGAAGGTCGTCTCCTTCTTCCCCGTCATTCTCAGTGTTCTGTGAGCTTGAAGATATGTTGTTCACAAGTGTCGGCAAAAAAGGGAGTCCAGTGCTGTTCCTGCACTGGATAAAGTACAAGTCAGACCGCAGCTACTGATCCTAAAGCTGAGAATAGTAACCTAGCACTCTAAACTGACAGTACACAGTCATCAACCTCTTCAGGGCCTCACTTTCTCCTTTTAAAGTTTGGACCTGGTGATTTTAAGGACCCTTTTATGAGCTCCATGAGATTCCAATATAAGAGTAATGGTCTTGAGGAAGCTTAAGTCTTGCTTCCTGTCAACTGTATCCTATGGAACTATCTTTCTAAGTAGCTATATATCAAGCAGTGATATGCTGGTGTAGGAAGGAGATTGCCGGGACTCTTCACTGAGGGAAGCTCAGAGAAGAGCCGGTTTTACTCACAGCCCCTTTCTCCTTCTCAGCTCTCCCTGCCACCCACGTTCCTGCCCCTCATCCTGAGGGGAATCCCAGAGACCAGGCGATGGCATCTGCACTATTGACCGCAGATTCCCAGGTGAGCCATGGGCCCCTTTTCCCTCCTGAGACCCTGGATTTGCCCCTTTCTGGAGCATCTTTCATGAACCTCAGCCAGGTCACTTCCTCGTGGTGCCCAGCCCACAAAAAAGCCCACTCCTCTCACTGTAGGCTTCTTCCACCATATCTCCTTCAGTCCATCAGGGTTGGTCACATGTTCTCTCCTAGTGTCCCACAGTCCTGCCCTCAGCTCTGTCTTTGACCTCAGGTTTGGGCAGTAGGACTGTCCCTGATGCTACAGGGAGCTGAGTATGGGGATCTCCTGTTATTTCAGGCAATGGTGAAGATCGAGGACATGGCCGTGTCCCTCATCCTGGAGGAATGGGGATGTCAGAACCTGGCTCGGAGGAATCTCAGTAGGGACAGCAGGCAGATGAATTTGGGGAATGTGTGTTCCCAGGGTAAGACTGATGCAGAATTCATGTCTGCTATAAGATTTTTTTTTCCTTCTGTGCTGGTTAGTAAGGGAAAACATTTGTGTTTGTTGAGTTTCCAAGGCATACCACTCCAGCTCCCTGATTCCTGGCAGGTTTGGTGTGTCTAGGTAATTTCTGCTCTTTGAAATCAGATCTTCTGCTCTGAGTCTTTCTCAGCTCTCCAACCATTTGGTTACCTGGGAAGATTCTTTCTGTTCTGGTGCATTATACTTCAGCTTACCTCTGTCAGGGGAAATCTCCTTTTCCTAGTAGAGATAGCTAGGCAAACTGGCCACCAATCGAATTCCAGACCCCTCCCTTTTTTTTTTTTTTTTTTAAACCATGTTCCTAAACCTACCAAGATGTCCATCCTCCTTGGATGTTTGCCTTTATCCTGTTAGAGATTGCTCAATGTGCACTTTGTGATTCTATAGCCTTGCGCCTGGTTCCCAGGTCCAAACCCAATGATGATTTTCTATGAAGAACTCTTAGTGCTAAGAGTGTAAGAAGAATGAAGTAATTCAAAGGGTCAGCTAGATAAATATCCTACCCAGCTCATGAAACTGTTGCATGAGTCATTCCTAGATCTTAAGTCCTAGGACACAGTGCTACCAAGAAGCCCAAAGATATGTTCAGTAGTAGAAAATTTCATAGCAAAGAACTACTCCACCTTGGGTGGGCAGAGGGAGGATGAACAACTCGGGCATGGAGAAGCTGGGATTTGGTTTAGAAAGAGGCATAAAAGGGAGGATGGTTTTTAGGTACTTGTACTTTATACTCAATAGAAATTAAGAACTGGTCTTTTAAGCTATCACTGCTATAACCTTTGAAGGAAAAAAAAACAGATGGAATAAACGCTCTTAAGAACTGTCTAGCCTGCCGGGCAGTGGTGGCACACGCCTTTAATCCCAGTACTTGTGAGACAGAGGCAGGTGGTTCTGAGTTCAAGGCCAGCCTGGTCTACAGAGTGAGTTCCAGGACAGCCAGGGCTATACAGAGAAAAGCTGTCTCAAAAAATGAAAGGGAAAAAACAAAACAAAACAAAAAACCTGTCTAGCAGCTAGCTGATCAAGGACCTTTGTTTGGAATTCAAAAGAAGTCAAGCAGCTTTCTCTTCTCTGCAGGTGGCTCAGCAGTTATGATGATCCCATCCATAAGTCAAAGATGAGCTATAACCAGTTCCTCTAGTCACAGCATTCAGGAGCCTACGGAAGCACACCCTCTTGGAGTCTTCTCTAAGCAGCAAATTGCAGGGCCAGTGAGATGGTTCAGTAGTCATAGACACTTGCCGCTGAACCTAGCAACCGCTTTGTCCCCAGGATCCACATGTTGAAAGGAGGGAGTCGAGTCTCATGGGTTGTATTCTAGCCTCCACACATGTATCATGGTTCACACACACACCCACACTAAATACTAAATGAATAAATAAATATTTCAGGATTTTGCTAAGGGGTGTGAGAGAGAACTCAGCAGTGAAGAACACTTATTGCTCTCCCAACAGACCCATAGCCAATTCCCAGCACTAACTTGGTATCTCACAACCATCTGTAACTCCAGATCCAAGAGATCCAGTGCCTTCTTCTGACCTCTGCAGGTACCAGGCATGGTAACATACACACATATGTGCAGGCAAAAAATCAATGAACACAAAAAAAATTTTAATTGTTGGGTTTTTTGGTTTGTTTTTGAGACAGGGTTCAACTTCTGTTTTAGATGAGGCTGGCCTTGAACTCATAGAGATCCAGCTGCCTCTGGCTCCCAAGTGCTGAGATCAAAGGTGTGCACCACCATGCCCAGGAGGTTTGCTTTCTTTTCTCTTCTCTTCTCTTCTCTTCTCTTCTCTTCTCTTCTCTTCTCTTCTCTTCTCTTCTCTTCTCTTCTCTTCTCTTCTTTTCTTTTTT